ACCTACCAGCTGCTCTTTGGAAACTTTGTACAGGGTGGCTGTGATTCGAAATCTACTTGATGGCATTTAAGAACAATAACCTAAGAGAAAAGCTTCTTAATATATTGCATGAATCCAGATTACTTTTGTATTTTGTAACACCACTTTGAAATCATACATTAATCTATTCATTTTTTACCTGAGAGGTAGTTTTGTAACTTTTCCCTGCTTGGGGGCTACAAAAGAAAGACCCAAACCCGTGACTTGCCTACAATGCCATGATTGGTTATTGTCAGATACAGCAGAATGGGGACCCTTGTACCCATGCCTTCAACTGTGTTGTTGCTAGTCATTTAAATTTTCTTATGATATAAAACCCCACCTCACACCTACTTCATAAAGGATTTAGGAGAGAGACAAAAGTCATGTCAGAAAGAAAATCATTATTTCATGGCTCACTTTGGTTTGCTTATTATTTAAACATTTGTAGAAATGTTGGTCTTTCCTCCAGATAAGGAGTTAGAATCCTTTGCAGCTAGCCCAGCATTGGAATTGCATTGGAAATGTGCTGTGAATTCACATGACTCATTTAGGAAGCACTACGGAATTTCTTGGGGTTGTTTTCACATAACTCTCAAGCAAACCAGTCTTCCACTGCGTATACCTCAGATGAGGAACAACAGTGTCCACCCCATCTTGTGTCTTATGGGTTCAAGCCTGTCCTGTATCATGTGACCACACGTGCTAGGTTCCCGTTCCCAGTGGCCTGTCACCACATGACACCCTGGCCTTAAATCTCCACTGACATCCTGTGGCAGTCTCACCCCTTCTGTTGGGGTTGAGACTGAGTTAGCACCTACTCTGTCTCACCTGCTGAGCTGCTCAGAGGATCCACCAGGCTGGCCAGCACCACAGGGAAGGGCCATTGAGCAGTTGTGCAGGCTTGTAGAGATCTTGAAGCATTGTTTCCCCCGTAGAACACACTTAAGCTTGTATTTCTATAGCCCAAAATACATTTGATTCATTTACGTGTGCTGCACAGTTTGAGGCCTGGGTAGGTAGGTAGGCCTGGGTATTTGGTGTCAGTGAGAAGTTAATGACAGTGTAAGGGTGGGCTGCTCACCTCTGGGGGAACGAGAATCTTCAAATAAGAGAAGTACTTGGCAGGTG